ATTGACTGAATGTAAAAATAAATAAACTCATTTTCTTTAAAGTTGATTTAAACTTTTTTCTATTTCTTTCTACACTAATTCCGTCGTCGCAGGCTTCCTGTTTGATTGTGTTTCTGTTTTTTATTTTATTTTTTGTTTTTTTTTTGTTTTTTTAACAATATCAGTTCGACTTCTTATCGTCTGGCTTTTTCGCCACGGATTTAAAAGAGCAAAAATGGCCGACGCTTTGTTTAATATTCAAAATTTTGAAAGGCATGTTCTAAAAAAAAAAATATGAAGGAAATAATCTTTTGTAATGAGAACGGAGACATGAATCGAATAAAACAGATAACAAGAACTTAAAAAAATAAAAGCAATTAAGAAGTGGGTTGAAAATAAAATTCTTCCTGGATATTTGAAAAATAACGAAATTATAAATGTAATAATGTTATCAAAATTGTTCAAATGAGGGCGTGCATAGATAGATAGATAGATAGATAGATAGATAGATAGATAGGGACAGATTATATATATATATATATATATATATATATATATATATATATATATATATATATATACACGAACAGATATAGATAGATAGAGAGAAAGTTGTAGACAAAGAGAGAAAGGTTTAGCAGACAGAAAAAAGGTTTAGGTAGATAGATATGAACAGACTTAGAGACGGTCACATGTCATTGACCAGCAGTCATTCTCCAATATTTTGATGCCCGGCACGAATCACCATCACAATACAGGTTAGCCTCTGTATCTGTTTATATTTCTGAGATGAGGTATTATGTACGCTATTTACATTATTCGGACTATTGTCCTCATCTTTGTCGCCATATTTATTACAACGTTTCGGCCCTTCAGTATCTGTCTATATTTCTGAGATGAGGTATTATGTACACTATTTACATTATTCGGACTATTGTCCTCATCCTCGTCGCCATATTTATTACAACGTTTCGGCCGTTTTACGCTCCGGCCTTCATCAGATGGTTGAAATGTTGAAGTGAATCCTTTATTTCGCTCACTGGGCTAGACTGTTCTAGTTCCACCTGCCATGTTCTTTTTTTTTTTAATGGATGTCAGTTGTCAGTTATCTTCTGTTAATTTCCCTCTCCAAGTACTCCACTACCTTAACCGTGTATTGAACTCACACTTTTTGTGTCCTGTCACATCGCACAGTGGATAAAGGCGTTAGTTAGATCTAGTGACAGGGCCCAAATAGTCCGAATAATGCAACCAAATAACCAAATAAGCGTATTAGAGCTTCCGGTGCCAATGCCAAGCAGTACAGTATGCCGTTTCCGAATTTCTGGCGGAATGAATTGCGTCATGGCGCCCTTTTTTCTAACAGACTTTGCCCAACTGAGCCAACAGTGCAGTCAACAAAAATAAATAATAAACAACGCGCATGCGCGAAATTAAAATTATAAAATGGCGACAATTTATCCATTCCACCCCGTCTATATGAAAAATGGAGCTGAATTCGATTTTTACATTATTTTATTATTTTGTTCTCATTGTCCCGGTATATTCAAATATTAAAGAATCTTTGCAAAGACAATTTCACTTCTTGTAAACCGCAAAAATTCTGTAACAAATAATTACAATTAATTATTTTCCTTTTTTGTCTGTTCATTCTATTCTGTTTCCTAAACCTGGTTTTGCATTGATGACTGAAGACATTCCAATGTTTTAACCGGCATTTAATCCCAGAAAAAAAAAAACATTATAAAAGAAAATCAACTCTTCCTCTTTTCAAGATGCATTCTTCAATCGTCGAGGCATCTTGAAAAATTCCAATCATGTCCTCAATGGGACTGCAGCCTGAAGAGTTAGCGGCCTTCGTCTGCAGCCATGATGTTTGCCTGTCGACTTTACGATATTTGTGTAAAGTTCCGGTTTTCTCTCCGCTTTTATTTTCTTTCTCTCTCTTTCTCTCTCTCTCTCTCTCTCTCTATTTATATTTATATTGTTCTCCATCTCTCTTTCCGTATTTGATCTCTCTTTCTTCTTCTCCTTCTCTTTCTCTCTCCCTCTTTCTCGTTTAGATGATTCTCCCTCTCTTTCTTCCACTTTCTCTTGTCATACAATCTTACATTATTGATCTCTTTCTGTACCCCCTCTCTCTTTCTACCCCTCTCTCTCTTTGTCGTTCTTTCTATTTCTTTCTTTCTATTTCACTGTTTTTGCTTCCACTTTCTCTCTCCCTCCGCCTCTCACTCTCTCAATTGTTTATGTCTATCGATGTTGCTCCTTTTCCCTATTTACGCTCTTTCTTTCTTCCTTTCTTTACCCACTCTCTCATTATTTCTCTTTCTTTCTTTCTTTCTATTTCTCTGTTTTTCCTTTCCCTTTTTCTCTTTCCATTCGTCTCTCTCTCTCTCTCTCTCTCTAGCTCGATCTCTTCTTTTTCCTTATCTATCTTTCACTCTTTCACATTTTTACTCTCTTTTTTACTTTCTTTCTCTACACCTTCTCTATCATTGTTTCCAGTTCTTTATTCTCTCTTTTTTGTTTCTTTCTCTATTTCTTTCTTTTCTTTTCTTTTTTTCCCTGCTCTTTTTTTTTCTTTATTTTTTCTTTCCATCTCCCATCCGCCTTTCTTTTTTAATCCTCTCTCTCACGCTCTTTTTCCTTTCTTTCTATCAATCCTATCTTCACACTCTTCTTTCTCGTTGCCTTGATTTACCCGCTTTTTTCTTTCTTTCCTTCTTTCTTTCTTTCTTTCTTTTTAATTCTTTCTTTTCTTTTTTCTTTCTTTCTTTTTAACCTCTTTCTTTCTCTTTCTTCCTTTCTTTCTTTAATTTCTTTTCTTTCTTTCTTTCTTTCTTTCTTTCTTTAATCCTCTTTCTCTTCTTTCTTTCTTTTCTTTCTCTCTCTTTCTTTCTTCTTTCTTTCTTTCCTTCTTTTCTTTTCTTTCTTCCTTTTTTCTTTAATCCTCTCTTCTTTCTTTCACGCTCTTCTTTTTCTTTCTTTCTTTCTTTTTTTAATCCTCTCTCACGCTCTTCTTTCTTTCTTTTTTTTCTTTTTTTTTTCTTTCTTTCTTTTCTTTAATCCTCTCTTTCTTTTTTTCTTCTTTCTTTCTTTTTCTTCCTTTTTTTTCTTTAATCCTCTCTCACGCTTTCTTTCTTTTTTTCTTTCTTTCTTCCTTTTTTTTTTTAATCCTCTTTTTCACGCTTTCTTTCTTTCTTCTTTTCTTTTTCTTTCACTTTCTTTTCTTTCTTTTTTAATCCTCTCTCACGCTTTCTTTCTTTAATCCTCTCTCTCACGCTCTTCTTTTTTCTTTCTTTCTTTTTCTTTCTTTTTCCCTTCCTTTCTTTCTTTAATCCTCTCTTTCTTTCTTTCTTTCTTTTTTCCTTTTTTCTTTTTTCTTTCTTTTCTTTTCTTTCTTTTCTTTCTTTAACCCTCTCTCTCTCACGCTTTCTTCTTTAATTTCTTTCTTTCTTTCTTTTTTTTTTTTTCTTTCCCCTCTCACGCTCTTCTTTCTTTCTTTTTTCTTTTTCTTCTCTTCTTTCTTTCTTTAATCCTCTCTCTCACGCTCTTCTTTCTTTCTTTCTTTCTTTCTTTCTTTCTTTAATCCTCTCTCTCACGCTCTTCTTTCTTTCTTTCTTTCTTTCTTCCTTTCTTTCTTTAATCCTCTCTCTCACGCTCTTCTTTCTTTCTTTCTTTCTTTCTTTCTTTTCTTTTTTAATCCTTCTTCTTTCTTTCTTTCTTTCTTTAATCCTCTCTCTCACGCTCTTCTTTCTTTCTTTCTTTTCATCTCTCTCACGCTTTCTTTCTTTCTTTCCTTTTTTCTTTCTTTAATCCTCTCTCACGCTTTCTTCTTTCTTTCTTCTTTCTTTCTTTCCTTTCTTTCTTTAATCCTCTCTCTCACTCTTCTTTCTTTCTTTCTTTCTTTTCTTTCTTTCTTTCTTTTTTAATCCTCTCTCACGCTCTTCTTTCTTTTTTTTTTCTTTCTTTTCTTTTCTTTCTCTTCTTTCTTTTTTTCTTTCTTTCTTTCTTTTTCTTTTTCTTTCTTTCTTTTCTTTCTTTTCTTTCTTTAATCCTCTTCTCTTTTCTTTCTTTCTCTTTCTTTCTTTCTTTCTTTCTTTTCTTTCTTTCTTTTTCCTTTCTTTAATCCTCTCCTCTCTCTCTTTCTTTCTTCTTCCTTTCTTTCTTTTTCTCTCTTTCTTTCTTTCTTTCTTTCTTTCTTTCTTTAATCCTCTCTCTCACGCTCTTCTTTCTTTCTTTCTTTTTCTTTCTTTCTTTAATCCTCTCTCTCTCTTTCTTTCTCTTTCTTTTTCTTTCTTTCTTTTTTTTTCTTTTCTTTTTCTTTCTTTAATCCTCTCTCTTCACTTTCTTTCTTTTTCTTTCTTTCTTTTTTCTTTCTTTTTTCTTTTTAATCCTCCTCTCACGCTCTTCTTTTCTTTCTTTCTTCCTTTCTTTTTTTAATCCTCTCTCTTTCGCTCTTCTTTCTTTAATTCTTTCTTCCTTTCTTTCTTTAATCCTCTCTCTCACGCTCTTCTTTCTTTCTTTCTTTCTTTCTTTTTTTTTTTTCTTTCTTTCTTTCTTTAATCCTCTCTCTCACGCTCTTCTTTCTTTCTTCCTTTCTTTCTTTAATCCTCTCTCTCACGCTCTTCTTTCTTTCTTTCTTTAATCCTCTCTCTCATGCTCTTCTTTCTTTCTTTCTTTCTTTCTTTCTTTCTATTTCTCTGTTTTTCTTTTGCTTTCTTTCTTTGTCTCTCCCTCGACCTCTCTCTTGTTTATTTATTCATCTATCTTTGTCTCTTTTACTTTCTTTCTTTCTTTCTTTCTAATTTTCTCTTTGTCCTTTCCTCTCTCTCTCTCTCTCCATCGGCCTCCCTCACTTTCTCGATTTAATGCTTTCCTCATCTATTTATTTATCTATATTGCTCTTTGACTTTCTTCTTTTCTTTCTTTCTTTTTTCTTTCTTTCTATCTTTCTTTCTTTATTTATTTACCCCCCTATTTCTCTCACTCATCCTTTCTAGTTTAAATTACTTCAT